CACCACAAAAAAGAACCAATCACGACAGTTAAATCAGGAATTTCAAGAAGTGAACAAGACATTGTAATTTTTTTGCCTTCTGATTAGTAGAGAAGTGAATAGATTGTATAAATTGTGTAAACTCAGTCATGAAGGAGATAAAATTTGTTTCTTTCTTTAAACATTTGCTTTTATGTGTATGAAATTTGGCCTRACAGCRACCGGTAGCTACCRSTGTTTGATGATGTAATCCGTACTGTCACAATTCTAAATTGTTTTGCACRSTTGTAACCTGAGCACTCGAACACTTATGTGCACTTCGACTGAATCCACACTTCACAGAGGGGTTTAGGGTGCGCACTGAGCATTGGGACTGGACCATTATATTCAGCAGAGGCCATTATTGATGTTTGTCGCAGAATGATGACATCATCCTGGTTATCTGACACAAATTTCTGCTAACTTCTTCTAACACCGCTAAAGATAATATCTAAAATTTAAATTCAAAATATGTTCATAAAAAACAAAATGAGTGGTACCTGGGGTCCAGCAGCCTCAACTGCAAGTTTGATAGAGAAGCTTTAGCTGCATTGGAGCTAGCTGTTGCTATTGTCTCAGGATGATGACATCATAACATGAGCAGCGCACCAACAGCAAAGGCTGCGTTCCATTCCAAAATACATAAATGTGAACTTCAACATTTAACTTAAGCATTTGAGGTTTACCTTTTACATTTAAATATTTAGATTTAGGGTTAAATATTGAAACACATTTTTCAACATTTAATTTTAATATTTAGTAAAAAAAAAAAAAGCTAAATGCAAGAACAACATAGCAAAATGCTTAGTAATAGCTAATAGAAGCCTAATGCTAGTTAAAAGCTAAAATACATAAATGTGAACTTCAACATTTAACTTAAGCATTTGAGGTTTACCTTTTACATTTAAATATTTAGATTTAGGGTTAAATATTGAAACACATTTTTCAACATTTAATTTTAATATTTAGTAAAAAAAAAAAAGCTAAATGCAAGAACAGTGAGCTAAATTTTGAAAAATAAGTTGGTGAAATTTTTTAACGTTTCATTTTACACTTGGTGCTCCATAAGATAAAAGGTCACCTAATTATGGTTTCACAGATGTGTCTGAGATAAAAAAAAAAAAAGACAAATCCAGGAAGATTTGACTAGAACTGTGATTAAATGTAGATTTTTGTCTCGTGTTAAATCTTTCCTGTTTGTTCCRTCTTCAGGCTGCTGCGAGACACGAGCTGGAGACCTGGTGTCTGTCCCTGCTGGAGGACAGAGACCTCCATGTCCCGGCTCAGACCCGACGCCACAAACTGCTGCTGGAGCCGTCTGCAGAACCGGACCCGTCATCTGCAGAGCCCGACCCGTCATCTGCAGACAGCAACACTTCCCTCCCCAACAACCTGAGATCCAGATGTGCAGTGAGGATGAGGAGCAGGAAGTACTTTGAGATGAAGGAGGACAGAAGTTCTGGTACGTCACAGAACATCTGGGTTTAGATATTTGGAGAAATTAAACCTTGTTCCTGTGGAATATTTGATTTATTTTAAAAAGAGAGAAGAAGTCAAGAAGATAAAATTAATTAAATGAAACCAAACTGTTGTCTATGAGTTTAATTTTCCTCTCTGTAACTCGTCTCTTAATGCAGATCAGAACCAGAACCCTGCAGGTCCTGCAGAGTGCCCCTCAGGCCTCCTGCAGATCTCTGCTGCCCCCTCCTGGCAGCCTGCGGTGCTGCAGGACAGTCTGGGCTCTGCAGGGTGCGGGGATGACCCCCTGTACCCCCAGCAGGAGCACAGGGGGGCAGCTGAAGGTAAAACTAACCGAGGGTACTTCAAAGATCGACCATCTGAGACCAAACTGAGCCAGGAGAGGAACCAGCAGCGAGCCGTGGAGGTGAGACACCTGACATCACACCTGACATCACACCTGCTAGGTGTTTCCTCCTAAAAACTGACCTGGTGTTTCGGACCCTCTGACCTGGTGTTTCGGACCCTCTGACCTGGCACTGTGGCTCCTCCCCTTTGCAGGCGACGCAGCGTTTCTTTGACGTGGTGACGTCTCAGCTGGAACGCTGGTGCTGCAGGAGGATCCTGGAGGTGGAGCAGCAGGCGGAGCTCAGGGCGCAGGAGGACAGGAAGGAGCTGCTACAGCGAATCACAGAGCTGGAGGAGGAGCTTCATAGAGCTGGAGGAGGAGCTTCATAGAGCTGGAGGAGGAGCTTCACAGAGCTGGAGGAGGAGCTTCACAGAGCTGGAGGAGGAGCTTCACAGAGCTGGAGGAGGAGCTTCATAGAGCTGGAGGAGGAGCTTCACAGAGCTGGAGGAGGAGCTTCACAGAGCTGGAGGAGGAGCTTCACAGAGCTGGAGGAGGAGCTTCATAGAGCTGGAGGAGGAGCTTCACAGAGCTGGAGGAGGAGCTTCGCAGGCTGAGGAAGAGAGGGAGAAC